TTAACCAAGTGGCATCCTCCAGTGTTAAAACATTAAAAAAAGTGTTTAAAAAACTGCAAAAAACTGCAGTTACCTGGGTGACCACTTGAGGCTAATGTAATGCCCTTTTAACGGCAGAAATAAATACGCCTACAGCCTTGTTAAAGGACAAGGTTTTGGTCTGAACAGTTCATTTCTTTATTGGCTTACACAGTACAGGTTGTGAAGTATCTCAACCATTTTGATTTTATGTATGAAAATAGTTATGCAAACATTTGCATACATGGCTGAAGTGGGCACATTATAGTATTACTGTTTGCGCGCCTCAGCTTCATCTATATTTCTGGACCCCAGGTTGGGAACCAGTGGTCTAAGTCATGTAAGTAAAACATCATGTAAAAGTTTGCTTTGAATACAGCTTACAATTACATTCATACTCAATTCTCTGAAAACCCTCAATCCGGTCTTATGAGGATAAATGTTGTAGCTTTGTCTTGCAGTAGGTGTCTGTGTCAAATTATGGTTTTAACACCTTTAGTATTTTAGAGTTCACTGTGGTCTCATACATAGACGAGAGTTCGAATGGCTTAACCCCTCAGCCTGCTCTGACAACAGTGAATGCCTTTAATGGAAAGTCGCAGCAATGTATGTCTGACCCGAGAGTATGCTCCATTATATAATTACACTTTTATTCAATTCTCTTACAACCTTCAGAATAGTACGATGAAGATGACTGATGGACCTGCACCAAATAGTCGACTCTAGATGACCAAGAAGTTTTTAAATGGAATGGATTTTAATTTATGTATCTTAAGATATTTGTATCTTATTTGCAAATTTCAGTTTAGTACTCTGGCATCAGCTGATCTTCTCCCATGTTAAGTTTATTTGTACCATAATAAATAGCTGTTTGTGTCAATAAAAAAAAAGTACAAAAAGTGGTCTCTGTTAGGCTAACATTTTTGATGACTCATTGACTAATATTAGCTTTACTATATTGAGCTTGTCATCATGCATATTCATAGTTGTCTGGATCTTGTTCCACCTTACTTTATTCCTGTTAATGACACAGTAATTACACCGTAACAGTTTGTCCGCATGTGTAATTACGCCCCCATGGTATCGTTGCAATTAGATGAATATCCGCGCTTTATAACCTAAGGCGTCAAGTTGGCAAATCCAATTTCAATTTGTATGGAGCGAGCATTTTGCCTGCTTGTTTGAGCCGCGGTAAAGACCAGGGATATGCAGGCTAATCCCCACCATGTTAAAACACTGTTCCTCTTAAAAATTGTAGACATGGGGGATTCTCTGGAGAGAGAGAAAGGAAAAGAGAGAGCCAGAGGGAGTGTGTATAGAGTATTTTTACAGCCAGGAGCCAAGAGGTGGGAGTGAGGTTTTAGGGGAAGGTTGAGGAGGTACATGTAAGGATGACTTGTGCAGCTCTAGGCCTTACATGCACGCATAAAAAGCCTATTTTTTACACATTCAGCTGCATTTTGTCTGCACTGTGGCAGCAGAATGGGGAGAACCCTATCGTGCAAATTGAGGATTTTCAATGGTGGGTTATTTGCATGTAAGAGCTGGCACGAAACAGGCCACGCTCTCTAAAGCAGCGGGCACCTTCAGATGTGATGCCTGCGTTCATGTCAGGTCTATACCTCATGTTGAACATCGCTAACATTTCTTCTGCGCTGTTTGTTTCAACACAACTTCTCAGGCCTTCAAAGCAGCAAACAATTACACTGATATGAAGTCAGTCCAAGGATAACCAAACAAAAAAGTCAGTGATGGGCATAAAAGTAATTACCTCTTTGTTACAAAGAAATATAATTTCATGTTCAAGGTTAGCCGCTGAGCCATATTGTAATAAGAAAGGTGTTTAAAGGACAAGTCTGACAGCGGCCTTTGTTTTTCTCCTCTTTCTCTTCCTCACTTCTGCCGTTTTACTCGTTGCTTTTAAACAAGCGCCGTCTCAAAGACAAAAGCGGAAAAAAGCTGACCTTCTTTCACAGTTGAGATGTTATTTTTGATTACTATAATTCAAGTTTAACTCAAAATTGCTGTGGGTAGGTGGCAGGGCAGAGGCTCACACGTACACAGCCACACATTTGCAGGTGCAACACATAAACACTCAGAGAGAATTACAAGCCTTCTCTTTTTAAGCCTGAGATATTAAGATAAAGACAATGGTAAAGTAGCCACATCCTGCTTTAAACAGAAGAGAGTGATATGCACGCCTACCGTGAAAGCATATATTCCCCACATACATACAGAAAGGCACGCATAGAGATACACACATACACAACAAAACATGCATGCAGAGATGAAGCTTGACACCTTTCTCCACATGAGACTCAGACACATTTTTTCTCACACATCAAAGTTTCTAATTTGAGAGTCCCTGAGCTCCAAATGTGAATCACATTGTGTAAGTCGTGAAGAAAGACAAGTTCTGCTAAATTCTGATTTTTAAAAAAAACAACAACAGGAAATAGCATATTAAAAATGTGCACGTCAAATATGTCTTCCAAAAAACAGCTTTTGGTAAAGAATGTCTTCGAGTCTCTTTAAGTTTCTCATATTTGTCTTTCATTGTCAACAATTGACTTTGACTCTGTTTAAGTTTAGCCTGCCTTACGGTTGAGACAGACTGACTTAATAGTGCGAACCTAAGATAAGTGTACCCTCTGACTGATCACGCAGATAAGGAGCAGACACACTACAGCACAGAAAGTGCACATATAAACAAATGGTTAGACAAAAACAGCATGAAGGGCAAAATTAAGGCCTCTTGAAAACCAGCGGGCGATTTTTTTTTCTCGTGTAAACTAGACGATACACTATTTTTTATTCATTTTGTATTTATATGTTTTGTCTTTAATCCTACCCTCCTTTCCCACAGATAGTGCCTGGAGGGCAAGATTTAACCACTCAACTAAATCCAATGCATTTCTTTGTGCTTTGTTAGCATTTGGTGGTAAATACTATTGGTTTTTATTTGTCAATTATTATTTTAATTTGCTTTTCTTCTCCCCCCCTTACATCCCCCCCACCCCCCTTCCTTTTTTTTCTGTACACAAAACACTGGATGTTAATACCGTACTTCTGAAGTTGTTGAAACGCCACAAGCTGAACCCATCAGATTCAAAGTGCTTGAGTCAAAAGAGAGAGAGAGAGAGAGACAGAGAGACAGAGAGAGATGGAAGGGGGAGAGAGAAAGAAGAGGGGGGGGGGTAGAGAGAGAGAAACTTGCAGCATTAAAATTCAGAAGATAATTACATCGGCTACACCCCCACCCTGTTGAGAAAGTGTTATGTTTAATAGTCTCTATAAAGAAAATAGGTTTTTATCTCACTCTCATTTTCATTAATTCCTAATTGGGGTGGGGGGGTTGTCTGTTATTATTTCTTAGATTAAAATAAACATAGCCTGTCCCATGTTCAAACTCATCACACTACACGGGCATGATAAGGACTTCATGCCTCTGTGAATAAATAAACAATTTCGTCTCCACTGGTGGAATTAAGTTGCTTACAGCCCTTAAGCTAAGCCACTGTGATTTATATTTTTATTTATTTATTTATTTTCTCAAAAGACTTAAAAGCACATCCTCGCTTCTGCAAATGAAGTTCACCATTTTTTTTTGACCTGCTTTATATGTATATCTTTAATTAGTGTCTTGTTTAGCTTAAACCGACTGATTATCGCATAGTCGTGACCTAATTACTGCGCGCGCTTCTTAACGCCAGCATAGTGCCCTGAGGAGCAAGCGAAAGTTACCTTTAAAAACTTCTGTAATCATTAGCAACGAGCCTCCCTTAATCCCACTAAACATACACTTATCTAGCCCCGGCCTGCCTGTGTTTGCTGTGCGGAGAGGAGGGAAGGGGGGATAGTTGTCTCTAACGTGTTTATTAAAGACATTTATTAATCGCTGTGGTTAAAATGAGTGTGTCCCTACGCTCCCAGTCTTTACTCATGTTCCACAGGGATCTAGACTGCTAACCCGCACACGTGAATGTAATGGAGAAGCAGGTCTCTTTCTGGATTGTGTTCTCTGGAGTCTTCTTTTTGGCTTAATTTGAATGGCAACAACAACACAGCAAAGTCAAGGGGCAGTTGCTAATATGTCCAGAATAAGAACCAGTGGCGGTTCTAGACTACTTTTAGTGAAGGGGCCAAACTGGGGCCAGTTGTTTAGTCAGAGGGGAACATTAAACCCAGGTGAAAAATAGACAAAGATGATCGCTTCAAAAAGATATATACATATTATGCCAAATAATAGCGCACATCATAAAATACCGTGATTTCTATTTGTTTCAGTAACAGTATTTAATAGGCTACTAGTCCGGTTGTTGAGTCAAATACTAGGGGGGGTTCTTCATTTTGGAGGGGCGGCCACAGGGGGGACCAAGCTCAGTGTTACAAGGGTACTGGCCCCTGTTGGCCCCTGCCTAGAACCGCCATGATAAGAACCAGTGACTGAGATACTGGCACATGAGTATATGTGATGCATAAAGTACTATATATACTTCAATTAAAAGCAAATTCACTTGCGTCTTAGTGTGCTTGTGTATTGGTAAGTAGTCAATAGGTGTGTTGATCTTTGTCTTTGTGAATCATATTAAAGCAAAACCCTCTGTTTATCTGAACCAAGTGGCAACCTGTTCGCACACACTGTACAGGGTCAAATTTATTTTGAAATCATCTTTTTTGTTGTTCATAGTAAGTGGTGTGGCTGATCAGAATGATGGGTGGGGGCATTGCAGAAGTTTGTCAGGAGGCTTAGGGGCAGCCTCAACTTTGCCCGTTGTTAGGTTGTCAGAAAGTTAGGTTTGGATAGTATTTCCAATGTAGTACCCGCCATGGATGGGAAAGTCACCTTCAATAACCAAAGGATGACATTGACAAGATCATTTTTTGTCAAGGATTTGAGGTAACAATTTTGTATCCCCAAATTTAAAGACAGACTAAAGTATTACAACAGCTATTTATTCATCTCTAATTCATTTCCTTACCTGATGATGGTGAGGAGGGATGTGGGCTGTCATCCTGAACGCTTCCTGTCTGGGAGTGTCCTCCTCCAGCGCCGCTCTCTTCCGTCACATTGGATGAACCGGGAGTGGTGGAGCGACTAATGGACTGGGACTCAGGGTCGCTGGCCGATCCGCGGCGCTCCTCCAGACCTTGTTGCTGGAGCGCTTCCTCGATGCTTCGCCTGTCTTTGCCGTGGACGCGGGAGTGGACAACCATCTGATGGTAGGTTCTGAAGACCCGGCCGCAGTCGGGACACTCTGAAGGCTTCTCCTTCAGGCCAGAGAGGCTGGAGAGGCTGAAGTCAATGTTTGGGCTTCCCAGGCCAGCCATGGCTCCAGGAGCCTCTGCACTACCATGGTGAGACATTAAGTCACGGTGACTGTCAAAGCCTCTTCCGTCCTCCTTCATGGACAACATGGCTCCACCAGCTGCCTTGGATCCATGCAAGGCCTCCGATATCTGCTTCTGCTTGGAGTTATCATTTGAAGCAATCAAGGAGTATTCTTGCTTTTCCTTTGAGAAGGAAGCCAAGGCCCCTGCACCACCAATCTCATCTTCCTGCCCCGGGGCTATATGGTGCTGGTGCTGATGCTGATGCTGCTGCTGCTGCTGCTCCTTCGGCATGAAAGCCCTGTCCATGGCCATGCCACGGGCCATTATCTGCCATGCTTGGTAGCTGTTGAGGGAGTCCATCTCAGCCACTTTTGCAGCTGCCTGAAGGCGCTCCATGCAGCTTGACTTGAGCGGTGGCACGAGGTTGAGACAGCCCAGGAGTGAGCGCTTTTCATTTTCACCCAGACCATGGCCCATACCTCCTGCCATTGGCCCCAGAAGCTTTCCAAGCATTTCCTTTTCCTTCATAGCTATGCCTGCCTTGGCCAACATTTGATGCTGCTCACTCAGGCCTTGTTTCTCCGGTGAAAGGAAGCCACCCTGAAGACAGGAGATGTAGCGTGAATAAAGGTTGGCATGAGCTTCTTGAGCCAGATTGCTCATGCTGTTGACAGCAGCTATTTCCTGCTCACTGGGCTGGGGCGGCTTGCTCTTGATGGCAAGCTTGTTGAGATGCACCTTCATATGGTTCTTGAGGAACCAGGGTTCCTTGAATCGACGGCCACAGATTTGGCAGCAGTGTTCAAATGAGTCCTTGTGCTTGCGCATGTGGCCCTTGAGGAACCAAGCCTGACTGAACACCTGGCCGCACACCTCACAGCGAAATTCAGTGGTGCTCTGCACGCCACCACCACCGCTCGCACCTTGGCCCTGTGTGGACTCCGCTGTGATGTGGGCCTTCTCCACATGACTTATCAGGTCTTCTTCGTGAGAGGCAGCAAATTCACACAGAGTACATTTGTAGGGCTTGTGGAGTATGCGGATGTGGCGGTCCAGTTCCTCGCGCTTCTTGAACTTCCCTTTGCAAAAGGTGCAGCGAAAGCCTGTAGCAGGGTTAAGGGACAGTTCATCCTGGGTGCCAGCCGGCTTAGGTGAAGTAGAAGGCTGGGCTATTGGGTCTGGGGTGATAAGGCCAGAGGGGGGAAGGAGGCCACAGGCCGAGCCTAGTTGCTGCTGATGGGTGTTGGTGCTGCTGGTAAGGCTCAAATGGGGAGTTTGAGCTGTCTGGAGGATACTGCTGCTCCCTCTCATCTGCTTATCCCTTAGGATGGCCCTCTCCTCCAGCTCATGCAACAGCCTGTTCTCCTCTCTGACACGGCCGCGCCCCTTACCAAGATTGCCCAGCTTGTGGGTTCGGAGGTGGATCTTCAAGTTGCCCTTTTGAGCTGCTCGGTGGTCACAGTAGGGGCATTTGAAGGGCTTCTCTCCTGTGTGTGTGCGCATGTGCAGCGACAGGATGCTGTTAAAACGGAAGCGCTTGCCACACAATGGACAGGGATACTTCCTATTCTTGCGAGCGTCGTCTTCAATATCATTCATCTGGGACATGATGCCCAAATTCTGGCCATTGAGGAACTGCTGCAGATCAACTCGCCCATTCAACCCACTCAGTGCCCCTGCATCAATGTCTCGGTTAAGCTGATTGGCCAGCAGGGCCATCTGACTGCTGATGGGTTGACTGGCCAGGGCTGCGTGGTGGGTCTTCTCGTCTAAAGGCGTGGCTGCTTTCTCTTCAGGGATCTGTTGTGGGCGGTGTAGATCAGGGAAGGCGTGTCCTAGCTGGGCGGTGAGCTGGTGAAGCTTTTGACTGATGGGGTAGCGGCCATTTAAAACTGCACTGCTCAGATGGGCGTCGGCATCAGACACCGCTGACGACACACCGAGACACAAACTTGAGTCCTCCATCCTGGAAAGCAAGAAGAAAAAAGACAGAAATATATTAGTTTGAATAGCGTGACACAAACAAATTGTATTAGTCTGTCCGGATTAAAAATACATAATTATCACACCACATATTCAAGGCTAATGTGTTACTTCATTTAGGGAAACAACACCTGCCACGTTACTCATTACAGGGGAAAAAAATGCATCGTCTTTGATGAACAGAGCACTGTGTGAATTGTCAGCACCAAGGGCCTGGAGAAACGCTGTGACTCCTTAGAACTTTTTCAAAATGTAACACCATTTTGGATGGAATAATTACTCTGTAAACACAGTGAGCAGTGTATAATTAAGCTACTTGTGCCCATCCTATCAGAATTCCACCAATTACACGCCTTAATGAAACGGAGCAACGCCATTGTCGGGAAGCCACTGCAATACTACAATTATGATATTAACAATAGCACTTAAAACCAAGGGGTTATTTCAGTAAACACAGCACTCTTATCTGGTTGCCACGACACTTGTCTTGGCACAAAATTCCATTAAAGAGCTGCTCTACATTTGATGTGAATCACTTTGCTCTTCCTCTGCGTCTTTCTAATTCCCCAAATTCTCTCTCTGTCTGTCTCCTCTCTACCTTTACTCTTTTACAGTTTCTAGGATGGAGAAACAACAGTTGGCTGTGTTGAAAATGTCCCCCAATGCAGCCAAAGCTACATTCATGTAAACCAGTTGTTATTGAACTTTTTATTCTTTGAGCCCCCCCCCCCCCTATTCGTATCCAAAATGAGCCGAGCCCACCCAAGAGCCACAGGAAAAGAGATTGTCAAAAAAATTAACTTGCATTTTGATTGTCTTCATTATATCTTGAATTACAAGTGTGGCGGTAAGTAGTTTGATATTTTTGCGTGCATTATTTTCAGACTTTTATATGACCTTTGAATTAACTACCCAGCAAGTGCATTATCATTACTTTAGTTAATATGTGCAAATCTAATTTGAAGACCTCAGAAGAGACAGAACCTCGTGCCCTCCTTTAGATCTTTAGGTTGTGGTTAAGTGGTAGAGATGGTCGTCTCTAAACTGGAAGTCCGGGGATCTGATCCCCCAGCTCCTGCAGCCACATATCGAAGTGTCCTCGGTCAAGACATTGGAACCCCAATTGCTCAATTTGCCAATCCTGAGTGACACTGAAACCTGAATTGGTGAGCGGCAAATCCTATTTTGTGAGTGGTTTGTGACTTTCTCGGTAGTTAATACTGATGGGCACTTTATGTAGCAGCTTCTGCCATCAGCGTGTGAATGTGGAGTGAATGGGTGAATGTGACATGTAGAGTGCAAAAACAGCTTTGAGTAAACTAGAAGACGAGAAAAACCCAATACATGTCCAAGTCCAGGTTTGGCCCCCCCCTACCCAAGGGGGGTCCGCACCCCAGGTGTAGAAGCATAGTTATGAACTGTGTAGTCTGAGGGGAATTGACCGGTAGCAGGATACTTTGTTGGGTTTGTTTTTTACTACGCTATGAAAAAAATAACGATTTGTCACCCTGTGTTGCTTTAACATATTTTTTTCTTAAACCGAGCATATTGCACTGTTACTTAAAGTGTTCATATGTGTAATATCAGTGAATTAAACACAAAATAATTACAATAATAACATTGTTTTTTTAATGCAGATCCATCTGCTCTCCAGATGGAGAGGTATAAACATCTATCTGCACACTTCCTCTGGCTGCTGGCAGGGGTCACACCCTCAGAAACAATAACCACCGTTCTGCTTTGGTCAACAAAATATTGTATAATGTCTCATTAAGCTGATTAGTATGCTGCCTGGTGCCTGGTCACTGTTTTATAACGTATGATTTTAATCATCAAAAAAAAAAATCCTTTCATGGAGAGCCAGTGCAAAGCAGAGGCATGAGGTGGGTTCTCTTTTAAGAGAAAGTGGGACCATTTTAGAAAAGATTAAGAGCCCAATCTTTCAGTTACACAGCCACTCCCTTATTAAATATGTGCCCACATGTTCAGTACACAATTTACAACCATGAAGGACAACTAAGAATTCTACCAGATTCTGTTTCTCTCTCTCTCTCCACCTACAGTATCTTTCTACAGTATAAGGAGGACGATAGACTGTGCTTGGCTCATTCATGTGAATTAATTTGAATTGTTTCTCTTTTTTTCCCCTCTCTCGCCCATGAGTAGGAGGTTAGTAGACATAAGGGGTGTCTGTTCTTTTAGCCACTGGCCCCTCCAACACACTGTCGATGGTGGATTCTTATCTCCTGGAGATGAATTAGGCACTTTGACCAGCTTCCTCTTTATGTTTAAAGGAATGTGACACTAGTGGGCCGCCTGCTTGAACTCTTCTTATTTGCAGAAGTCTATGAACCAGTTGTACAGAATTCCTCACATATATAATAAGCACTATAAGGTCTGCAGACTGTCAAAACCGACAGATCTTATGACAGGTTGTTATGTGACTTGAATCACGTGAGTTAAGGCATGATACTAGCCAAATCATGAATTACACTTGCATGAAAAATAGCATATTATACTGTTTATGTAAATATCTATCATGAGGAAAAATACTTGGTGAGAATTTCTGGAGAAGATAAAACTTTGTTAGACTGCTTTAAATGTGTTAGGGCTTCAAATGTATTGATGTGACACCCCCAGCTTCCATCAGCAGCCGTGCTTATATCGGAAAAGACCTTATTTGAATGGGCCCTTTTACAGAGGCGGCTGCCTTTTGGAATAGAAATCTGTGATTTAAACTCGGCTGATGAGCTGTTGCTCATTTGGGGAGATAGCAGCTTGCCCTTTTCTTCAATTTGATTTCTGCCTTTATCTTTAACATATAACAAAGGCAGATAGACAATGGAATAATGTGAAATGAACTGACGAATCCAGTTTGTGTTTTTTTATAAACGTATCCTGGCTGACGAGCGTATGCAAATGAGGCACATTAATATGCTTGCCTTGCTCCCGAGTCATTTTATATTTTTTCCCCTGATTAAAAAGGACATTTCTTATGTGACATCCCCCCTCTGCTCATATCAACACACACATGCAGGGGGAATTTGAGGCTGGTGTACAAGAAGGAACGCATACACACACACAGGCAAAGACATGCACTCGAACACAATTCGACTACAGACAACAATTCAATATGCACATGCCCTCTAAAAGACACGAGGAGTGCGCTGCAACTCAACCAGCACTAACAAATGGCTGCCCACAGAAATCATACAAACGCAGCTTTGTATTTTGACTTGATCTTAACCGCTAATGTCTGGTGCCACAAATCAAACAGTCTCAGAACAGTACAGAGGAAAACAAGAAAGATAGAAGTTACAGATTGATGCTTTTAGTCGATTAAGGCTCAAGTTTGTTAATCTTACCGGTTGTATTAAGGAGAGATTTGGTGCTAATCTGCCCCTACTACGTCTCAATGTCTCTGCCATGGCTGTATAGCTTGACTCTGATATTTAACATCACATGCACTCCGTAGCTGTACACTGGTACAGTATCTGTCTGCCGTTACTCTAACCTGTATAACCTTATCACTTCCTGGCATGTGCAGCAATGCTGCCTCATTAAAACTATTGGCTCCTCTGATACCTCTAAAACCACAAAGACTTCCTTTAGCATTTTCTCACGACTGTTCACTTGTTGTCTTTATAGTTTGTGGTTTAATATTCAGCATAGCACCACGTGCACCCGTAAACACACCAAATATCCTGCACACACACACACACACACACACACACACACACACACACACACACACACACACACACACACACACACACACACACAAACACACACAAACTGATTTCACTCCAAATGCATTTTTCTTCTCTGCTCTTTTTCTTTTTTCCTCTTCAAGCCTCAGCTTAATTATAAGTGGTATCTGTAACACAATGGAAGTATATTTCAGTCAGCATTTGAATGTGCTCAGTTCATTTCTTTCTTATCAAAAGCAGCACGCATCATAAATGCAAAAAAGGATTTATATGTGTCACTATAATTGTAATCACATACATAATTTAAGTATAAGAGTGGCAGAGTCAGAGTCACCAAAGTCTAACTATTATATATTCAAATTAGAGGAAACAGTTTGTGAATATATAGTCCTTAAATGTATCATCACCGCCTGAGTTTTGCCATCCAACTTTTCTCTGACGTTTAAGACAAGATGGGGACAAAGTCAAGAATCGAAAAGCCATTAGTTGAACTTTACTTTGTTATTGTGACGCGTATCGACACAAAAGCCATCGACTAATCACAAAGCAATACCCCATTAAGTCCTAATGAACAAATTCATAGCATTAAACAAATCAATCTTTATTCACAATGTGCTGATTTCCATCATATTTGCAGCAGATCATTAATGAGATGAGGGAAAGGGGGCCAGCCGCGAAAAAAATGATCTCAAAGGGACAACGTGGGTACCATATGTTGCACCAACTGAGAAATGAATGCTAAAGAACGCAGTGATAAGTAGCTGGGGCATTTAAATCCATTTAAAAAGCTATAAGTGTATTTTCACAGCTTGTTTGTCATTTCAAAGATCAATTAGCTCCGTGTTGAAGTCTCTGTCGTCAGAGTTGTTGCTTTGGTTAGGTAGAACTGAAGCAGATATGAGTTTTCTTCCTGGCTTGTGTTTTGTTCCTGTTGCAGGTGGTCCGTACAAGACGTCTAATTAATCCAATAAAAAAAATCCGCCTTGTTTTCCTTCCACCCGCTCTCTCGCTCTTTGACTTCGCTGCATTATTACTTTCTGTAATGAGGCGAAAACACTCTGAACTGCAACATGGAAGACAGTCACACAAGCCCTGCCAGATACAATCCTAACTCCAGCCCATGCCTAGAGCCTCTTGATCAAAACTCATAACGCTGCACTATCAAAGAGAGGAGAAGCTTCAGAGATGGAACGGCCTATTTTCAATGTAGGGGGGTGGTGGTGGTGGGGGGGGTTCGTTTTGCAGACATGGATGAGATCAGATTTCATCTACA